GCGGGCCTGACCTAGGGTGAGTTTTAAATAGGGACAATTTTTAACGATTTTAAAGAGCCACAGCTACCAATATTTGGGTTTTAATTGGTTTTTAGTAGGGGAAATTTTTTGTATGATGTTTTAATACGCTGTGAGCCGCCCTGAGTCCCATGGGGAGAAGGGCGGCATATAAATCCTGAAAAATAAATAAATAAATAAAAATAAATATATACTGTGTTTCCCTGAAAATAAGCCCTAGCTTGATTTTTATGTGTGCGCCCAATATAAGCTCTACCCCCAAAATAAGCCCTAGTTAAGACCCCGCTCACTCTGTCCCACAGTCTGGTTGTACAAGGGGGGGTGAGGCATAAGTGTAAAAATCAAGGTACAGCGGGGGTGGGGGATGGAGCCGCCCCACGCACCCTGCACACGCTTACCTCAGGGCCCTCACAGCCAGGCCTCCCACACCCTGACACCTGCCTTGCTTCATGGCGGCAACAACAGCAACCCCGTCCACTTAGCATCCTGCCGTGAGCGTCGGCATCGGTGCGACGTGCTAGGTGGTGTCCTGCCGTGAGTGGCATCACCAGGTGCAACGCAACACGTGTCCTACCGCAAGTGGCCGCAGAAGAAGTCGGGCAGCAGTGCAACAGGTGTCGGGGCATTGGAGGCCTGGCTGTGGCGGTAGTGAGATAAGCGAGTAAGACACTCCCTGAAAATAAGACCTAGTGCCTCTTTTGGAGGCAAAAATAAAATAAAATAAGACCAGATCTTATTTTCGGGAAAACACGGGTATGTGTGGATTGAACAAAATAATAATAAACATTGATACTAACACCATTAATAAAAAAAATAGTGTAATAAAGGGGTGTCAAACTGCCGGCCTGCAGGCCGGATGTGTCATGGCGAAACTGTGCCCACCCCATTGCCGGCAATGGGAAAAAAGTCTCAATACGTCACGACACGTCATGTGACATTGCGAGTTTGACACCCCTGTGTAATATATCACTGCAACAAGGAAGAAATAAATTTTCAGTGTATGCCTCAACAGTTGTATTCTTTTATTTGATTTTTAAAAAAAGTTTCTTCCTGTCTGTGTAGCTTATTTAAAGGAAAGACGTCACAAATAATGTTCCTAATTGATTGCTTTGTTGCATAACGGTTTTAAAATCAATGCCCTCTTTCCAAATTCAGTACAATATTGCAGAACTGAACACTCTTGAGAAGAAGGTCGTTGTGTTTTTATAGGAGATAATATTCAGTTGTGTCTATCCAGGCTTCCCGTCTCCCTCTTGAACCCCCATGAAATTCCCGTGACACCTTCTGGGAGAGATTATTGTAACCCATTCTCAGACTCTTCCCACATCTCCTGCAACTTGAATGAGCAACTTGCTGTCAGATTGTCATGTCAAATTATAAACTTTAGAACCTCATAGCACGTTCTCTCCTGGTTTTAGGAGCAAGGAAGGTTTGCATAAAGCCAAAGACATACTAACACGTCTTGGGGTTGAGCCTTCCCATGAAGACTGCATCGCTGTCCAGCACGTGTGCACCATTGTGTCGTTCCGCTCTGCAAACTTGGTGGCAAGTACTCTGGGTGCTATCCTGAGTCAGCTGCGAGACAATAAAGGAGTTGGCCGGCTGCGCACCACGGTGGGGGTGGACGGATCCCTTTACAAGATGCATCCGCAGTAAGATCTTGTGCAGTTTCCATATTTATATCTTGGCACCTGTTAAGAGCCATTTCTAGCAAAGGTCAGCTGTGCAGCACATCATGCTGCTGTCTGATACACCCTCTGAACTTTAGCTAAATAAACAGAATTCTTCATAGAGAGAAACGTGACCAGCAATGCAGGCTAGAATCTGAAAAATAGTTTAATGGAGTCATCTTTGATGAGAGGGCAGCGTATAAATTTGATAAATAAATAAATAGTATACTGTATATATGAGGACACTCCATATTCTGTGCATCCCAATATGGATAGCTGTTTATAGAGGACAGGACAATATTTGCAAACTGTTTGCCTGCTAGGGCCATAAGCATCTCCCTAATGTGCAAAGCTCTGTGGCTTTTATTATATTTTGCTAAGTATTTGTAGGAGAAGAGCAGGCAGAATTGGGGGAACGGAGTTAAATGTTTAGACTTTAGAGTCCTTGCATTGCCAGAAGAGATCTGAGTCCAGCACCCTTTGAATTCTGTTGACTCTTATCTAGTGCCGATTTAGTGCTGACTGTTAGTTGATCAGATTTTTGTGTCTTAGTTTGCACAAATCTTCTATGCTGCAGCTGTACGAATGATTCTTTGTGCCTGACATTATTCCATGGGTGCACGTGCATGAGGGAATGGGGAAGGTGGCTTCCCATGCTTTTCCCTCTGTTATCTATTCAGGATCTAATTAATAATTGTATGGGAGGTGCTCAGGAAATCCTAGGGTTCTAAGTAATATTAAGGAATTGAAAAATATCCTGGGAGAAGACAGTGTGGTCCACCCTCCCTCTATCTCTCCCTCCCTCCCTTCCTTCCATTTAGGCACACACCCAACTTCAAACACCTTTGGGTAGCACACAATATAATAAACAATAAGAACACAATACAAAACAAATGAAGATGGGATCTGGTTAATCTATATGAAAATATAGACCAAAGGCATTCAGCAGGGGTGGTGGTGGTGGGAGGGGGTGTCCAACCAGCTTAAGTCAAGGCCAGGAGGACATCCAGGTTTTCAAGGCTTTGCAGAAAAGCCAACAGAGTAGGAGTCCTATGGATATTAAGAGGCCCCTCGTTCCACAGGGCAGGCATTGCAACAGAGAAGGTATGCTTCCAGTATACCAGTAGATCAGTGGTTCTCAACCTTTTTAATGCCGCGACCCCAACCGGTCGTAAGTCGAGGACTAAACCAGTCGTAAGTCGAGGACTAAACCGGTCGTAAGTCGAGGACTACCCAACCGGTCGTAAGTCGAGGACTTTCCCTGCCCGGGAGCTTCGCACATGCGTGGTTCTGCCCCCTGCGCTGGCCGAAGCATAGCTGGCAAGCGGCAGAGACGGAGCAGGCCGACCACCAGCTGGCCCAGCCCAAGGGAGGTAAGGCACCCGCCGGAAAAGGGGAAAAAAATGGCGGACAAAAAAAATGGTGGACAGCCTTGCTTGGCGACCCCCGTGAAATGGTCGATCGATCCCAAATGGGGTCCCGACCCACAGGTTGAGAACCACTGCAGTAGATGGTCCTGTTTTATCAAAGGCATCCAAAGCATGCCAGCTCTGTTGGCATGTGTTAGCTGGGCAAAAACAATGGTACGAAGGCAGTTCTTCAAATAATCTGGACCTGTTCCATGTAGGGCTTTGCAGATGATGACCAGTAATTTGAATTACATCCTAAAGCACACCGAGAAGCTGTGCAACTTTGCAAGCAGTGATGCCTGGTCACTGCCTGTGGCGTTGCCGTCAGGACCAGTTGAAGCTTCTGAATGGTTTTTAAGGACAGCCCATGTAGAGCTCATTGCCATCAGGAATGATAAGTTATGTTTTAGATGATGTTTTCCTCACAATGCATTGCTTTGAAAGCTGTAAAGAGGTGCATAGTCTGAAACATTGGAAAGGAACACTTTTATTAGCTTCTAATAAACCTTGATTCCATTCCTTCCGTCTGAATGCTTATAAATTGTACTTTGAAGGGGTAGTCTTGATTTTCAGCCCTTGGAGATCTAACTATTTTTAATTGTTTTGTTACAGAGGAAGAAGTTGCTCATGCCTTCTCTTGTACCTGTTACTCCATAATTTATGTACTGGCATTTCTTACAAGATATGGGATTTTAGAGATAAGATTTTCTCTGTTTTCTTGAGGGAAAAGCTATATTAATCATTTGAACAAAGCAGGCAGAGATGACTTTGGCAGGTCTCATTGATTTATCCATTGATTTATCCTCAGACCAGATAAGCTCCTACAGTACTCAAATAGTAGTTATTTATTTATTTATTCATTAGATTTTTATCCTGCCTTTATTACCTTATAAAGTAACTCAAGGCAGCAAATATGCACAATACTCTTTCCTCATAATTTCCCCATAATAACCATCCTATCAGGTGGTTTGGACTGGGAGAGAGTGATTGATCCAAAGTCACCCAGCTAGTTTTCATTTCTGAGGCAGGACTAGAACTTACGACCTCCCTGTTTCTAGTCCAGCACCTTAACAACTACACCAAACTGGCTTGGTTACTCCTACTCGTATTAATGGCTTTCATGCCTTTGTATGAGGAGAGATGCTGGTTAGCATGATGGGAGTGTTGCTGAATGTGGCACAAGGTGAGCCAGACCTTAGCTGTGACCTATGAATGTGGTTGTGTTGTGCATCAAACGAAAGATGAATGTAACCCTTCTCGTTCTTTAGATATGCCAGGCGCCTGCACAAAATGGTGCGACGCTTAGTGCCTGATTCCGATGTGCGTTTCTTGCTCTCTGAGAGTGGCAGCGGAAAGGGGGCGGCCTTCGTGACCGCAGTAGCTTATCGGCTGGCAGAGCAGCACCGGTTGATTGCAGAGACCCTGGCAGAATTCAAGCTCACCAACGAACAGCTGCTTCAGGTGAAGAAGCGGATGAGGATCGAGATGGAGGCCGGCCTCAAGAAGAAGTCACACGACCATGCCAAGGTCAAGATGCTGCCCACCTTTGTCCGCAGCACCCCTGATGGGACAGGTATCTCTCTCATGACCTTTGGGGGAGACGATTGATCTGATGCCCGTTAGGTATTTCCGAACACAGCCTCCATAAATCCCGAGTATGGCTGTGGTCTGGAATTAGGGGTATGGAAATCAAAAAATCAGAAGAGCCCCAGATTGATGCAGAATGATTTAAAAAAGAAAGAAAGAAGGCTGGAACCCACCAATCAAAGATCTGCTATTGATTGGCAATCTATAAATTCTGTAATAGCACATACATTTATATGCATACTGGCTACCTGGGGAATTCTGGGATAATCAGTGGAACAGCTTACCTTCAGAGGTTATGGGTGCTCCATCCCTGGAGGTTTTTAAGAAGAGATTGGACAGCAATTTGTCTGGAATGGTATAGGGTCTTCTGCCTGAGTAGGGGGATTGGACTAGAAGACCTCCAAGGTCCCATCTCAATAACTCTGTTATTCTATATTCTATTTTGTATCCCTTTCAATTGTAATGGAGATGCAGTGCCACCTAGTGGCAAATTTTCATATCGGATATATCTCAGTCGTATTCAGCATTGCTCAGCAATCCACGTTTTGTTGGCGTGAGATATTAATATTAAAATACTATATGCCTTTCTGCATTTTCAGTACGTTGTTAGGTCAGTTAACCAACTGCGACGATTCACGTTTGATTTTGTTATTTCAGAGCTAATGAACTTTTTCAAAGGGGCTCTATATAATATACATAGTCTAGTATAGTGAAAGGGACTAGGGGTGACATGGTAGCAGTGTTCCAATATTTGAGGGGCTGCCACAAAGAGGGGATCAACCTATAACTCCAAAGCACCAGAAGGCAAGACAAGAAACAGTGGATGGAAACTAATCAAGGAGAGAAGTAACCTACAGTGGAACTAAGGAGAAATTTTCTAACAGTGAGGACAATTAACCAATGTAACGGCTTGCCTTCACTGGAGGCTTTTAAGAAGAGACTGGACAGCCACTTGTCTGGAATGGTATAGGGTCTCCTGCTTGAGCAGTGGGTTGGTCTAGAACAGTGGTTCTCAACCTTTTTAATGCCGAGACCCCCAACCAGTCGTAAGTCGAGGACTAAACCGGTCGTAAGTTGAGGACTAAACCGGTCGTAAGTCGAGGACTACCCAACTGGTTGTAAGTCGAGGACGTTCCCTGCCCAGGAGCACCGCACATGCGTGGTTCCGCCCCCTGCGCCGGCCGAGGCGTAGCTAGCAAGCGGCAGAGACGGAGCAGGCCGACCACCAGCTGGCCCAGCTCAAGGGAGGTAAGGCACCCGCCGGAAAAGGGGAAAAAAATGGCGGACAGCCTTGCTTGGCGACCCCCGTGAAATGGTTGATCGACCCCAAATGGGGTCCCGACCCACAGGTTGAGAACCGCTGGTCTAGAAGACCACCAAGGTTGCTTCCAATTCTGTTATTCTGCTTTATTAATTAGCTGTATTAATAATTACTATTAATTAATAGTCCAGTGTCTATTCTTGAGAAGACTTGTACAGTGAAAGGCAAGTGAAATGCAGTGCAGTATTTTCCTCCTCCAGTGGCCAACCAGATACCTATGAGATACTTTACCAGCAGGCCACATCACCATCTCCAACAGAATTTAAGTGCTTTATTCCTAATGTCTAAAACTCCTTTGTTTGCAGAGAATGGAGACTTCCTGGCTCTGGATCTTGGTGGGACAAATTTCCGTGTTTTGCTGGTGAAGATCCGAAGTGGCAAAAGAAGGATGGTAGAAATGCACAATAAAATATATTCAATCCCTGTAGAAGTTATGCAGGGGACTGGAGATGAGGTGAGTATTACATGAATAATGGTATTATTTGTTACATACAATTTTGAAAACAAAATCCTGTATTTCATGATAGGAATTTCCTTCTCTTTTTAGCTGTTCGATCACATTGTCACCTGCATTTCGGACTTCCTGGATTACATGGGAATAAAAGGAGCTTGCCTCCCTCTGGGCTTTACGTTTTCTTTCCCCTGCAAACAGACCAGCCTAGATTGTGTAAGTGACTCTTGTTGTTTACAAATGTAAGTTTTCATCATCTGCTGTTCAGGATCCATTTCCTTTGACTTTTATGAATGCAAAAGCAGTATAGATGAAAATGGAGAGAAATCCTACCGTTGCTGGCTGAACCACAAATTGCTTAAATCTGTGCTTGGGAAGAAAACCTGGGTGGGAGTTCTTGTCCACAGGAAGTCCTTGACTCACAATCATTTGTTTAGTGACGCTTCAGCGTTACAATGGCATTGACAAAAATGACTTATAATTGCTCCTTGCACTTACAACTGCTGCAGCATCCTTGCGGTCATGTGATCAAAATATGGCACTTGTCAACTGGCATGTATTTACGATGGTTGCAGCATCCCAGGATCATGGGATCACCACTTGCAACCTTCCCACTTGACCTCCGACAAGCAAAGTTGATGCAGGAAGCTGGATTCATTTAACAACCATGTGATTCGCTTAACAATTGCAGTGATGCATTTAACAACCATAGCAAAAAAAAGGTCATAAAATCAGGTGCCGCTGATTTTTGTTTGGAATGCAATTGCAGTGATCAAAAAAACTGTTCCCAGATTAATTTCTGTCTGTGTATGGCTGTAGGCTGTGCTTTGAAAGTGATTCTGAAGTGGAAATTGAAATAGACACTTCCAGGAATAGTGGTTACTATCAGCTTACATTGTTGATTTATAGCACAGAGCAGTGTTTTTTACCTGAGCATCTTTAGGATGTGCGGCTGAGGAATTCTGGGAGTTGGAGTCCACACATCTTAAAAATACTGGCATTGGATAAAAGGAGAGTGTCATATCATAAGACCTTCTTGTTTCATTTGGCTTTTCTGGGTGGCAGATTTATCATAGCTAACACTGAATAACAAATAATCCTTCATGGGCTCTAGCTGAGGAAATATAGGTTGGTGTCTCCTCTTAAGCCCAAGTAGCTTAGTCTAACATTCAACAGGTGTGGCACGGATGTCATGGACGTCTTCTTAATGCCGTCATTTTGCTTTATCCAATCTAGTGCCAACCAGATCAGTTGGAACTACAGAGCCAAAGGAATTTTGGAAGTTGTAATCCTAATCTGTGTTGGGCATACAATAATAAATGGCTGCCATATGTGTTCATTAATTGTTTAGGTCCAGTATTGCTTCTGGTGACTATTTCTGGTTTGTTCTAATAACACATGTTTGGAATCAGACATGAACTTTATTTATTTATTTTGTTTTTCAGGGTATCCTTTTGAATTGGACCAAGGGCTTTAAGGCTACTGACTGTGAAGGAGAGGATGTTGTTAATTTACTAAGAGATGGAATTAAAAGAAGAGAGGTGAGTTATGCACCTGCTTTGGTTCAAGATTGAAGGGTTGTGATAATTTTAAACTTAATATATTGTTGATTGAATCACTAATATATCATCACATTCTCTGCATTACTTAAAATATAGTACATACATGTCTATAAAGTGAAGGATATGCAAAAAAAAATGCTGGTGAAACTAAGCAGGCAGATTTTAACAGACTTTGCAGTACTGGTCTTTGATGGTGATTTAATACATATCTGATATACCCAAAAATTCTATGTGAGCTTCCCATTAAACTATTATTGCTAACATTTTAGAATTATGTTGCTTTTTGGTAAAAATCTATCAAAACAGTATAACCGGAAGTGTTCGTTGAGGGGATATTAAAAGATAAAAGCTAGATATAAGTTGTAAGGAAGTGGTTGAAGCTTTGTCTCTGTACATGTGTTGAATGTACAAAGTTTTTTAAAAAGGCGAAGGCTTCCATCTTGATTTTTTTGACAAACCCCCTTCCCCTCCATGTCCCAGAAGATAATGGATTGAATTCCTCATTCCATTCCTGAAGATTTGTTCTGACCCGGCTCCCCAAACACAACAGACGTGCCAAATAGTCTCTAAAGTTCCTTTTATTTCAGGAACGCCAGCAGTTTCACACAGCCTCCAAACAATGGAGCTCGCTCCCTTTCCCCTTGTGGTGGTCTCCCAATACACAGAGTTACTCTCAGTCTCACCACGCTTGCAGCCAAAAGTCCTTCAAGCAAGCTGGCTACTTTTTAACATAAGACATGCCCACGCTCAGAAGGCACTCCGACTCCCAGCCCCACAGGATCTGCGGAAAAACTCTGGCAAAATTCCAAGGAGGGGTGTCAGGAGTTCCAAATACAAGTGGCTGACCAGCAGGAAGATGAATAGTTGTCTGCCACACCTATTCATCTTTTATCCACAACTGAGGGTGGGGCTCCGTTAGCAGCGATGACTCTTCTGCCCTGAAAACCACCCCATAGCCTCTCGCTGTTCTCCTTTTCTCAGCTTCCACCGTGCCTGTGCATCAATCACTGGCCCCATGTGATCCTCCTCTCCTGACTCACTTGCCTCAAGGCATGGAGGTCTCAACCTTTCCATCTGAGGGCTGGCAGACGGCCCAGGCTCCGCCTCTCTCCCTGGCTGTGACAGCTCCATTCCTTCCTCGGAGCTTTCAATGGCCCTGACGCTGAGCCCGGCGCCCAGTCCTGTGCTTCCTCATCTGAATTGGCCGCTGAGTCCTCCAGTAGCCGATAGGCCACAAGATTGGCCTTTTTCTGTTAGAGACCCCAGTATTAAGATCTATCCTAATTTGAATCAGATTATAGCAGAGTGATTAAGACTCCAGGCCAGGAAACTGAGTTCTACTCTCACCTTATGCTTAAAGCCATCTGGGCCATAGGCCAGTCACTCTCCCTCAGCCCTAGGAAGAAGTTAATTTCAAATCACTTCTGAAATCATTTATTCGTTCATTCATTCATTCATTCATTCATTCATTCATTCATTCATTCATTCATTCATTCATTCATTCATTCATACCCCATCTTTATTACTACAAATGACTGCAAGCAGCAAACATGTCCAACACACCTTCCTCCTCCTGTTTTCCCCTCAACAATAATCGTGTGAGGTGGATTGAACTAAGAGAGATAGACTGGCCCAAAGTCATCTTGCTGCCTTTTATGTCCAAGGCGAGACTTGAACTTAACAGTTTTCTGCTTTTTAACCTGGTGCCTTAAATACTGTAGACTAGGGGTCCCCAATCCCCAGCCCGTGGACCAGTACTGGGCAGCAGCATGCCAGCAACTGGGCCACACAAACAAGCAAATCCCCATCTGCGAGATGGAGGCAGCACACAAAACCACGCACCCTCCGGTCCGTGGAAAAACCACAGAACCGGTCTCTATTGCCCCAAAGATTGGGGATCTCTGCTATAGACCAAACTGGAAATTTCAGGAATTTGGCTAGATGGTTACCAGGAGTCAACAATGACTCTAAGGCACCAAAAAAAAAAGCAGTACCCTCAGCATAGATAAGTTAGAACATAGCAATGTGACTAACTCTTAGTCAGTAGGCATAGACAACATTAATTGTTTTAGGAGCAGAATGTTAATTTAGAGAACTGTGGAATATTTCAGATCTGACTGACCAGGCCATCCTGAACCAGGCTGGAATGGCTAGGACATTCAGAGGAGATACAGAACATTCTGGAAGGGCAGGTTTTGCAGCTCCCTGTTAGTCATGCAGTAGCATGAAGGTTTGGGAGACAAAAAGGGATTACCATAAGGTTCATGCATTTAAGTCTAGATCTTCACCCATTCTTATAACTGTTGGAAAGTGTCTGGAAAGTGTTCAGGAAGAACGGAGAAATTATATTTTTTCAAATTTATTTTTTTCATGTTTATGAATTGTTAAAGGGAAGTGCCTCACTTGCTATTTTTATTTTTTTTTATAGCTAATGTATACATTTCTTCCCTTTGGTAATAGAGCCATGAAAGGATCATAACTTTTGCAATATAAATCACCATATAGTAATCTTTTCTATACTGATGCCTTCCATCTACGGGTAGTTGGATCTAAACCTTGTATTGTCCCTGCCGACTAGAAATACTGGGAATTGTAATCCCAAAATACCTGGAGGACTCTAGATTGCCTTAGAAATTCATTTTAAGCTTAAATTAAAATGAACATGAAATAGAATTAATCCCATATAATAATTATTGTATGTTGCATAGTATAAGTGATTCATTTTTATGAAGGAAAGTTTGTTTTTGAACATCATCCCTATGTAGTATTTGACTGTCAGAAAACTACACACAATGTACAATGTCAAGTTGTTGATTCTGGAAGGGAGAAATAGTTGCTTTCATATCTTACATCTCTTGAAAGGCTCTCATAAAATTGGAGCAACATGATTCAACAAATTTGAAATAATGTAGAAGAATAAAGAATAACTGTCTTCTGACAGAACAGTTTGTACTTCTATTTCAATCTCTGGGACAGCTTAAGTATATGAGGAAGATCCTTAAATCATTGGCAAAAGTGAAGATGAAACTTTGAGAACGTGAATAAATTAGGAACTGTGGCTACAAATGTTAAAATAGAAGATAAAACATAGGAAATCTGAATTCATCTCATCACTGTGTATTGGGAATAAGCAAAGTAGTTCTCAAGAATCATTCTATCATTTATTTGCTTCCATGTAAGAGTTAATAGTTGGGAGCTACTGCATGGTTATGTGTTTATCCATCCTCTTTGGAATTGATATATTCTGTACATGATAAAGGACTTTGAAGAGAAAATTAAAATAGAGGTTAGGAATTTTTCTTAGCAATGAATAAATTACACAGCAGCCTGGGTAGAACAAAATAAAGATAACCCTCAATACGTGAGGTAACAATCAACATTTTCTAATACTTACCAGTCTAGTTGATCTTTGATATGTCAAAAAAAAAACAACAACCTCACCTTCTTCAAACCAAACTCGGCTCTTAATGTCATGCCATTTTACTGGAAGTCTTCTGGGACATTTCATCAACTTCCTGGTCAGTTCCATAACTTTGGTAGTTTCAATCCAGGTGCTAACCAGATCTGACTTGGTGTGAGAACTGGTTCTAGGACTGACCAGTAGCCACTTTCAAAGTCTTTGATTGCCTCTTCTTCAGAAAAGAGACAGGTTTCTTTACATAGAAACTGTAAGAAAGACTATCCTCTGTGCCTATATTACAGCTTGTCCTCAACTTACGACTACAATCGAGCCCAATTTTTCCATTGCTAGGCGAGAGAGTTGTTAAGTGAGTTTTTCCCCGTTTTGCAATCTTTCTTGCCAGTTAAGTGAATCGCTGCAGTTGTTAAGTTAGTAACATGGTTGTTAAGTGAATGTAGCTTCCCCATTGACTTTGTTGGTCAGAAGGTTGCAAAAGGTGACCACCTGACCCCAGGACATTGCAACCATCATAATTACATGCCATTTGCCAAGCGCCTGAATTTTGATCACATGCGTGACCATGGGGATGCTACAATATATGTGAAAAACAGTCGTAAGTCTCTTTTTTCAGTTAATAGCTAACATTTCCTCAACTTAATATTCTCAGGTTGAAGAGGAAGGTGCTGGGTTGATATGTGGCTGTGTTTGTAATTAGTATCAAGAATGTTTCATTGCTACCAGTTGAAAGAAAACCCTCTTTTCCTGATCATTAGAATATTGGCAAAAAGCAAAGAACAGATCATAAATGCTAGGTTGACTTTCCCCCCCCCCCCCAAATAAAACGATGGCGTTATAATGTTGTCTCTTTCAAGGAATTTGAACTGGATGTTGTGGCTGTAGTGAATGATACAGTTGGAACTATGATGACTTGTGCCTATGAAGATCCGAATTGTGAAATAGGACTCATTGTGGGTAAGTCTGAGACTTGCTTTACATTTTGTTGAGGAGCTTATTTACACAATAGATTCTGTTTTCAACCATGCCAAACCTTCCTTTTTATTTTAATAATTTTACTTTATGTTCTAACTGATCTGACGTTTACATGTCCAATCCTTAGTATCAATTCCCCTGGAAAGCGGGATTTTCCCCCCATCTGTGAATTCAGAAAGCTGATGAGAGTAGATCTTGACAAGGGTGTGGCCAGGACATGTGAATGACTATGGACCACATTCAGCTATGTTGGGGATAAACTGTTTGATTTGGCTTTTCATCAAACCAAAGCATCTCCCTCTTCCCGTGCCCTTCGTATCGGAAAGCAGCATGTGTGCTGTGTGAGAGAGGGATTTGTGTATATGAAAGAGAATGCTACTCTTTGACTTAAGACCAAAGTTAGGATTGTAATTTCAGTTAGAAGGCAATGAAGTCTCAAGACCTCTTATTTTGACTCTTATCAATATAAAATAGTGACTGAAGTCAAGTCTGGTTGGAAAACAAGAACAAACAGATGGAAATTGCCAGAGATACAAGAGGCTGGGGCAAATCTTGCTTGAAAATTTAGAAATTCATTGATTTGGGCAAAAAAGAAAAGAACAAGAAGTAATGTTGTGTAAGATCTTTTAAGATTTCAAAACTGTCACGAGCGCTCAGCTGTTTTTAAAGTCCTCCTTGAAAAGAGTATTTTAACTGAATTTGCTAGGCTGTTTTATGTATAGACATAACAAAGAACAGTTCAGCTACGTAGATTTGTTAGAGCCGTGCAATGTAAACAAGACAGGTTGATCTGCAATCCTATCTTTGCCAGATCAAAACTATTGGCTGTATTTGAATTTCAGGCAAGAAGATGGCCAAATCTCCCATTTTCCTTTTTTAATTGCCAGAACCTCTTTCAATTCCTTATACTTTCTCAGGATTGAATTTTTCAGAACATGGATTTAGCAAGTGATTTAATAGCAAATACCAGGTAGAATTTAATAACCTGTGCAGTATGGGTAGTTCTTAATTACATTTTGTAAAAGCTAAAGTCACTGTCGGTAATGTTGAACTCAATTAACAAAACAATCCATAAATAGTTGCCCTTTATTAGCTGTTCATACTTCTGAACTGAGATCTAGGTTCAAATTTCTGTTCAGCTATGGAATCACAGGATGCCATTGGAAAACCTATTTTATTTAGCCTAATCTCCCTCAAAGTATTATTTAGGGAAGAAACCAAAATCTAGAATTCAACTGAGTGGAATATATTTTTATCTCTACCTCTGGGTTTGTATCATGACCACAAGATACGTGTTTTTGTCTCTGGGGCCTCTGCCCCCTTTGGGATGTCCATGACATCCTGGGTCCATAACATGCTGGTACAGCCTTCAAGTTAAGAAAGTTGCAGATCCCAGCTCCTGGACAATAACAACAAACTCCTCTTCTGGTTGTGAGCCTGTTTATTTCCTAATTCCAGGAACTGGGAGCAATGCCTGCTACATGGAGGAAGCCAGAAATGTTGAAATGGTGGAGGGAGACCAGGGCAGGATGTGTGTGAACATGGAATGGGGTGCCTTTGGGGACAGCGGATGCCTAGATGATATCAGGACAATCTATGACAAAGCTGTGGATGAATATTCACTAAATAGTGGCAAGCAAAGGTAAATATTTTTTTACTGATGAGAAATATGAAGTCATGTGGCTTTCTTCTGCAGCAGAGGTGGCTATCACCAGTTGTGAGCACTACTGTTGGAGAACAGAAGGGTGTACAATTCAGCCAGAGATTGAGAGCTTTCACTCAGAATGTAGATGTGTGGGACAGTAAAATTGCTGTGGTTTCTTTTACGAGATCCTGAGGATAACATCTAGCAGGCAAAAATCCAATGTGAAGTCAGAAGAAGTATTTTTGTCCACCTCCATTGAACATGGGCAACAACCACCCTTGATTTGAAATGGGCTAGGATTTTCCACAGTCAGCAATGGAGACTCTGAGCGTGCTTCTCAGAAGTCTTTTCGGTGGAATGAGAAGAAACAGCTGTCGGTTTGGTTTGGGAGATAACTTATAAGTTTTGATTCCTGATAAATGTGGAAGAATAGAAACAACAAACTGCGATCATCGCTTCCCCCTTCGCCCCAAAAAATGTTCAGGAGGAAAGCATGCTTTTTCTCTTTCCTCCCTTCCTTTGGCCTGTACTCTGCCAATACATCGGTCATTTAGTGACCATTTGCAGTTCTGATAGTGATGAAAATGTAATTTTGCGACTAATTCTTGCACCCAGGACCTTGACAGGTTTGTAAAGCAAAGCTGAAGTAATATGGTAAGAATAGTCATCGTTTTTCTTCCAGAGCACAGTGTTTAATGATCAAGTTGCTGGAATCTGTTGTGGCTAAATGAAAACTACCCGCATAGGAAAAATCAGAGGAGATTGGAAATGTGTGAAATGTAAGGATTGTCATACACATTAACAGATGTGAAAGGCACATGGGACATGGCTTCTCAGATTACATGGATTTTTGAATCAGGAAGAATATAGGTAGTCCTCGGCTTACAACAGTTTCTTTCTCCTCCCTAATATGCTTCTGAAAAAGGCAGTAAAATTTTAAAACCTTTTTCTTACAAGAAACGAGAAAGAAGCTTGCGTGTCCCCTTTTCAGGGAATCTGTTGCAGACTGTTGCCATTCGGTTCTGAGCTGACTGACCCACTTCTACTTAAGCCATCCAATATTTATAACATCTTTCCCAAAGAAATCTGGTTCCCTATAAAAACACTTACCGGTAATTTCTGTCATTCTTACTAACAGTGTTTCTGAACCGGTATTTTTGTCCATGATCGTAGGTATGAGAAGATGATCAGTGGAATGTATTTAGGGGAAATTGTCCGTAACATTTTGATTGACTTCACAAAAAGAGGATTCCTCTTCAGAGGTCAAATTTCAGAAACACTGAAAACTAGGGGCATTTTTGAAACCAAGTTTCTTTCACAGATTGAGAGGTAAGTGTGCATATATCTGGAATGGAGCTTGCTATTATCTCCATATATGTTAGCAGTTACTTTTCCTTAGCTATCTCATTTAACATTTTCTTCACAAACTCACATTAATATGTTGCCCTCATCTTCTAGCTTAGGGGTGGGAAACAATGGCCCTTTTATGACTTGTGGACTTCAACTCCCAGAATTCCTGAGCCAGATTTCAAAATGATGCTGGATAAATAAAAACATCTTGCTTATGTGGAATTAAACGAATCCTGATTTATGGTTTTGGCTAAATTGGCCTTAGCTGTTAGCCCTGCAAGGTAGCCCAGACCAGAAGCACTAGCCCTGTCTTTATTGAAAGATTACATTAACAGATTTTTGCAAAACTGAAAGTATTTCTCCCCTCTTTTCCTTCTACTTTAGAAAACCAGAGAGGGGCCCTTCTAAAACATACCCTTGCACCTTCCCTCTTTCTGTAGACTGAGACAACCTTTTACACCTTGCCTGTCCAGTCTTCAACTCTCCCTCCTGTGTCCCAAGGTCATCCCTGTGTACCATTACATTAATGCTGGGGTCTTCAAACTTGGCCCTTTTATGACTTGTGGACTTCAATTCCCAGAATTCCTCAGCCAGCGAATTCTGGGAGTTGAAGTCCACAAGTCATAAAAGGGCCAAGTTTGAAGACCCCTGCATTAGCAGAATAGATAATGTGTAGGGTCTGCATGTTGCCTGCAAAGATGCTCCAGATGTGAAATCTTTCCCCAGTGAAATCTATGTGGCCTAATATTGAAAATGAGGCAGAGATCCCCGAGCTAGTTTCGCCCTCAAATGAGATGCTTAACTTTGGAAAGTTGTTCAAGTACTTGACTCCGCCCCCTTCATGCCCTTTTTCAACAGCGATAGGTTAGCGTTGCTTCAGGTCCGTACCATCCTCCAGCAGCTTGGCCTGAATAGCACTTGCGATGACAGTATAATTGTGAAGGCAGTATGCGGAGCTGTGTCGCGGAGAGCAGCTCAGCTGTGTGGCGCTGGAATGGCTGCTGTTGTAGATAAAATAAGGGAGAACAGAGGCTTGGAGCATCTGGACGTAACCGTGGGCGTAGATGGCACACTATACAAACTTCATCCACAGTAAGTATTTTGTGTGAGTTTGTCTGGGTAGGAAGGAGCAAGTGTTGGATTCTGAATGGTTTAAATATCGTAATTCAGGCTCCGAGTACCTTTATAACAGGGGTCTTCAAACTTGGCCCTTTTATGACTTGTGGACTTCAACTCCCAGAATTCCTAACCAGCGTGCCTGGCTGAGGAATTCTGGGAAATGAAGTCCACAAGTCATAAAGGGCCAACCCCTGCTTTATAACCACTACCATCATGTACAGTATGTTAATGCAAACATGGGATGTTCTGACAGTTCATTGTGAGTTTTGCGGTTTTCAGAGGATGTAAGAGCTGACAAGATGGAACTCTTCTTAGAGGCTCAGGGTTGACATGCTGAGTTGAAGCTATCACAGATTAATTTTTCTTCCTGTGTTGTGCCATCTTTTATTATTATTTTATTATTTATTAAATTTATTTGCTGTCCATCTCACCACAAGTGACTCTTCCTATATGCAGTATATGCATATGTGCATAAATTATAATTAAAGTATATAAAATTTATAATCTTTTCTCCCCTCCCCTCCCTGCTCTCTACCTAACCCATCCCTCTTTTGGTCATCTTATTGATGTATTTCTCATTGTATTCGTTTTTCATTGTTTGTTTTATGAATTCTATTTTATTTCTGTTTATACTCCTTTCAATTTCTTCCTTATAAAGCAAGATAGGCAGCAAATAAATTCAACAAATAAATAATACATTTATTTCCAAATACAAAAATACGGTATATGTGATTACTGTATACTCTCTTCCTCCAGCATTATTTTCTGAGTGACCAATGAAGGGTGGGGGATGTATGTAATTCGACAGGATGTTCAGTTTTGTTTCTGTGTGAATGAAAAGAAATGCTTGCCTATTCCAGCCACATCCTAGATTGTGCGTAGAGCATGTGTCAATCTGTGCCTCTGGCTTTCCTTGGACAGTTTCTGCCAGACATTTCTGTATTAGCAGCCTCCCTCAAGATTGTTGGTTGGCAGTTCTAGGAAAAGCAGTCTCAACCCATCTTGAGAACACCAGGTTGGAGAAGGCTGTTGTATAAAATGTATATGACATTATTCTACGTAATATGCATGGCCATGCATTTACATAAGCATCCCGTTTTAGCCATAATGTAGGAAAAACATTTCCACATCTTGGTCATTCTCCTAAGAGTCACTTAAGTAAGATGGGTAGTATAGAAATGTGATAAATAAATAAATTAAATTAAATTTCCTGCCTATAGTTGAGCCGGAATGGAAGGTGTTGTGTTGCAATAGATGCTTTGTTGCTTTTGTGCATGAGTGACATCGTCACAGATTGGAAAGAGCAGGGATTCTCATGCACCCACTGCACCTGCCACTGGGCAGGTGTTGACCTTCCCACAGATGCTGTTTTTGCCCACCGGCTGCAAGCCAATCCCATCCCATCCTATCCCATCCAGCCTATTTAGATGATAGATGCCTTTTTCAGTTGGGTGGAAGAAGGACTTTTCACCGCTTCTCTGTTTTCTGCAGCTTTTCAAAGTTCATGCACAAAACAGTAAAGGATCTGGCACCCAAATGCAACGTGACATTCCTGCTTTCGGAAGACGGCAGCGGCAAAGGAGCCGCCCTCATCACTGCGGTGGGATGCCGATTGCGCGATGCAGAGCACAACTGACCTCTGATCCCTGGGCTGCTTATGACTTCCAAGCACTTTCTTGACAAGCAGCAGTTCTGTAGTCTGAACTGGCGGGGAGAGCCCAGAATTCACTGCTTGGTGGAAGAGTTGGGGTTTAAGGAAAAAAAAAGTAAAATAAAAAAATAGAATGCTGATTAAGTATGCTGTTGCTGATAATATCTTCCACTTGGGGTCCTTTTGTCTGCATGTGTCTTTTTCTGGCCTATTTAGTACATTCCCCATCTGTAGATCATGAAAAAAAATTGGATAATTTAAACAAATGTCAGGAATTAATTTATGATTTGAGGTTCTAAAATTACAGCCAAAAATTGACATGAGCAAGAGCAGGTGGTGGTACCATGTCAAGTATATATTATTTGAGGCTGCTACTGTGTCCACATTAAACCAGTATACCACCAACAGTGCTGAATATGAAACAAATGCTTATGCAAAATGAATGTAGCAATTCCCACCTGAACTTTTCACCCAATATTGTTTTATTCCCTCCTCACCCATCTTGGAGTTTCCACAGCAGTCTGGTAGCATCTGAATTTTCTGGTCTTAGACTTCCCTTAATGATGTGAATTTTCTTCTGTTTGCACTGAACCAAGGGATGCACAGATCAATTAATCAATCAACCAGTACCTCTCCTCACTTGTCAATTATCACTGCTATTTCTTTTAGCTTTGGTAATCAATGTCAAAATTCCAAGTAAAGCACGAACCATTTCAAAAGGCAAGTCTTTATTAATAAAATCAAAGGTGATCCAGATCTCTAGTTCTAAGAAATGCTTTTTGCCTTTATATTAGCTTTGCTATTTTCCAGGTTTCTCCCTCCCCCCCCCCCCCTTTAATAAAAGAGTTTGGAATTCCCTTATTTTATGTCCTGCTGAGAGCCATTTCCAATTTATTAAGGCCGTAAATTCTGGGAGAAACGTGAGAGCTTGCATGGGAGAATATAATGTGGTGTTGGGGGCAGAGACTTGACTTTCTGTCGGATCCATATCACAGATGCACATCCAGAAGAACCAAATCAGTGTACAGCCAGTATTTGCATCGAACAGCCAAAGCTATAGGCATCTGCAGAACTGAAGCCCCATCTTTTTTTGAGGTAGGGCAGGGGTCTTCAAACTTGGCCCTTTTATGACTTGTGGACTTCAACTCCCAGAAATCCTCAGCCAGGCACACTGGCTGAGGAATTCTGGGAGTTGAAGTCCACAAGTCATAAAAGGACCAAGTTTGAAGACCCCTGAGGTAGGGTTTTGATTGTTTGGTCCTGGCTAACATCTTTTTTAAAAACAAAATCCCACTGGATAATCCAGTCTAGCCTTTGCTCTAGAGCAGTTTCTCTCAACCTCAGTAGCTTTAAGTTGTGGGGACTTCAACTCTTGCTTGGCTGGGGAATTCTAAGACTTGAAGTCCACACACCTTAAAGTTGCCAAGGTTGAGAAACACTGTTTTAGACTGAAGATACCAGTGACTACAGACCTGACCACCATTTTGATTTTCTCTTATAGCCCAGGGTGTCTGACACATTATTCTAAAATTTGCAGGACACTGAAAAGATTTGAGTGGCTTCCTACTTCTGATGCTTCTGTAGGACAGCATTTACACAATCACAAAACTTCGCTATAGCCAAAGAATCGGATGGGAAAATGTGATACACTCTTACCTTCTACGGTGATTACAGTAGCAGAATTCATTGTGAAATCACATTGATCTTTATGGAGCTGAATTGCACCAGTTATACTTCTGAAAATGCACACTTGTAGTCAGTGCTTTTTTTGTTAAAAAAAAAAAAAAAAAAGGTGCCAGAATTCACACACGTCATACAACCTTCCTTGCTTACCCTATAAGGTTCCATCCAAAAAAGGTGCCGGAACTCCATTTTGGGCGTTCTATGACAAAAAAAGCCCTGCTTGTAGTTAATTAGGCATGTGGGAAATTAGGTATTCTTTAACAATTTTAGGAACATCTTTCAAGGCCTGGTTTATTCTGGTTTATTTATTGGATTTGGTGCGATTTACCAAGATACTTGAAAAATATTGATATAGGTAGTACCAGAGAAAATAATCCGCAAACGATGGATATCACAGTTACAAGATCTCGTAGTTTGACCTAGACTTGAAATTTAAACTAGAGCGTGATTATAGAGACAACTCTCTTCTCTTGTTAGTAATTACCCAAATAGCGAAGGGGTCAGCTGGTCTTTTTAGAGGCTCTCCAGCTATCTCCATTCCAATAAGAAAGTATATTGATCACATCATTGGCAACAAGAAACAGCAACAATAAAGAAAATAAAGCAAGCTTATTGGATTACTTTAAATCTCAAGATTCGGATTGCCTTCTCTTCTAATAAGCATTTTCAGTACACATTTTGGTGCATTGTGATCGAATGTTATGGTAAAATGAGTCTTGCCCAGTATTTTGCAGCTTTCAGTGTGTGTGCGTGTGTACGTCTTCCTGAAGGATCGCATGATTCCCATGGTTTTCCTATGCTGGAAAGTCTTTTTATATTGCCTACCAGTAGTGATGATACTACATAGTGCAAAGTGGATATTTGTGACATAATTAAACTTTATTTTGAAGTGTGTCTATTGGTGTCTGGTGATTCTTTCTTACAAAGGAATGAAAGAGGTATTTAGGTTGTAGAAATGCAAGAGAAACAAAGAAGAAATATTTTTTCCCCAAATTTTTAGACCAGAGCCTCCTTGAAGAATTCACAAATCTAGCCAATTTTGAATTTCGATAAACGTGTTTAGAAGAACTTGCTATATTTCAGATCCTGGACATGTGGTTGCAAAACTGAAGTGTTAAGTCAACAAATCTCTCCTGGGCTTAATCTTCAGAGAAAGTCCTGGATTTCAGAGTGAATTTTGACATGCAAATATGTTCTTTTTCTTTCAGGTTCAAAAATTGGGCATGAATTTATGTTTACACTGATAGCTTGTTTTTATATAGTTATAGTTTGCAGCTTCAGCGTTGAAGAAAAAAAATCAAAAGTGGGTGCTTTGCATAAAAAAGTTCTCAGCTGTTCACTGTGCAGAGCTAGAAAACCCACTGGCTTCATTGTAATTCCTTATAAGTTGGAATTCTGTGTTCAGAACAGAACAAAAACTTTGCATTTTAAAGGCTTTAAGCTTTAATGCTGACAGACACTACTGAATTGCCTGGTTTAAATTGCAAAATCTGTGCCCATCTGGAAATTTTTACGTTTGGTAATGTTTACACACATTCATTCAATAGGGTGCTTATTTTTTAGGCTGTAAAAATGTGTCTTTGGGGAAACAAATTCATATACATAGTGAGTTATCAGTTGCTGCTAATGATTGCAACCTCCTGAAGATTTTTTTTTTTTTTTTGCAGATCCAATGTTTTAAGAGGGTTAAAAAAAAACTCCCAGCATTTTAAATTATTTTTTCCCTAAAAAAATAAATCTCAATGCATTTTATTTTGTGCTGCTTTTCAGTTTGCTGGAATCTTTGATACAGAAGCTATTTCTAAAAATTATTTAAAAACAATTTTGATTATTTTATAGTATATAAATCACTATTTAATGAGTTTATATAAAATCAATAATTTTCCTTCCTTGAGTGAAATATTCTTACCTCATAAATTATAATAAATATTTAAAGCGTGCCTCACAGTACACTCTCTTATTGTTATGTTTATTGAGCTGTAATGAGTGTTAAATTTGATGTTCATTCTTTCCAAGAAATTTCAGGGCTGGTCCAATTATAGGGAAATATAAGGAAGAATTTTTTTCCCACTTTGCCCAGTTTTTAGATCTTTACTTGTGGAGTTCTTGTTGTGGATCAAAGGAGGGGAGGACCAGTTATAACTTCAATGGGAAAGAAAAACAGGACTCAAGTAGCACCTTTTCCATCTAATAAACAAAAGCTTACGCCCTTTAGTAAAAGTCATTTCCCCTATATACTTTGCAAGGAGCAGAACTTTGTAAAAGATAGAAGGTTCTGATGGCAATTTTGGATAGCATTTGATCCCTCTAATCTTCCTAGGACCTGATGTTCAAGGTAATTGGGTGCAAGGACCATAATACAGATAGTCGTCAACTTACAACTGTAGTTGAGCCCACAATTAATTGTAAGTTACAGTCAAGTGAATCATCATGTGACTGCCCGATTTTATGATTTTTTTTGGTGGTGGTCATTAAGTGAACCCATTGCTTGCTATGGAAGTGCTCTTTTGCAGATCAAGTAAATGCTGGTTTCCACCAAAAATGTTGTAAACCATGGTCACGGGACTCCAGGATGCTTCAAATGGCCATATTGCAGGCCAGTTGCCGATTGCCCAAGATGTGGTCATATGGCAGCCATTAGAACTTCAGATCCAGGTCCTAGATACCTTTTTTTGGGGGGGGGGGAGGTGTCCATCATAACTTTGAACTGAGTTGAAGAGTACCTTTATCCCTTTCATTAATTCTTCCTCACCCCAGTTTTCAGGACCTCCAGCCCCTCCCTTCCGATTTCTGTTACAATTTGGTTTGATATTCTTGAGGAAAGGAGATGAATGATTTTGATTATCCATAAGTACATTCTCCACAACACAGTTTTGATTATTGCAATATATGTGTAGAGAAAATTCTGTATATGTAGGCTTTTTCTAAAAGGACAGATTCTCTAAAGAGGACATTTGTCTGGATCTAAGTATTCTAAAGCTTCAGCTCCAAGATGGTGAATGGAATCAAAATATTTTTAGGGAGAAAATGTATTTTAGATTACCAGTAGATTTATATCTATTTAATGTCTAGGAATACACTGAGTGGGCTCTTAACTATTGGTCTCTATTAGTTAAGTGCTCACCATTTCTGAATTGTTCTTTATAATAACTGTGAAATTGGAAGCAGTTAAATGTACTTAAATTATCTTTAATGTATACAAATATTGGAATAACTATAAATGCAATAAATAACTTAGGTTGCCAATTAATCTGGTTTTGAGGTACTGATATCAATATCAGTGAAATTATTAATGGGGTTATAGCAAGAAATTAGTCAAGCAAATTATCAAGACACATTGGGGGGAAATGCATTGACTGCTTATTTTGTGGGGAATAGAACAATCATCTTTCATGTAAAAAGGGATTTCAAAAGGACCACAGACTGGCAAACTGCAGTACCACCATAGAAGAATAATTACAGGTAATCCTCAATTTATGACTGCAATTGAGCCCCAAATTTCCATTGCTAAGCAACCCTGCAACCATCATAAATATACATGCCAGTTGCCAAGTGTCCGAATTTTAATCATGTGACTCTGATGCTGCTGCAATGGTCAGCAGTGTGAAGAACAATCATAAGTCACTTTTTGACATATTGCTGTAACTTTGAATGGTCACTAAACAAATGATTGTAAATCGAGGATTACCTGTACAAACATGCCGTGATCTATTGCAGTATTTTTGATGCTACAACAAAAGAGCAGGACAATGAAGCTGTTACTCAAGCCTTTAGGATAAAAATCATGCCACCCAATACATATTAGCAACTGACAAAGCGATTAGTTGTGTACATTACTAAACTCAGAGAGAGGTTGGATGCTTGTTCTCTTTGGATTTACCATAAGGGTCAGGATAACCAAGGTTAAGCCGGTCTCTTTCTGTAGCTTTGACGCAGGGGCACCATTGAAAAGCAATCCTGAATCCAGATCGGAACCTGCCAGGGGCACAAATATTAATAAAATGCATGTTATCTAAGCCAGAGATGAGAGGGTGAAGCCATCAATTTTTTCCCCTAATTTCTACCACACCTTTCTATTCTTTAAATTTGTTCTGCAGTATTTTCCACTACAGTTTTATGATTTACTACCTCTCTGCTG